ACTCTTTCTCATCTTCTTAAATTTAAACATCACTTCTTGAATAGGATAACATAGCAACAAGTAAGGTACACTGAGCCAGTTCTTCAATTTAGCTTTTGCCTAGATCAACCAAAACAATACATTTTATCTAATTTTCTAGCTTCAAATGCACATCTGTTTTCCAAATAAATTTTTTTAAGGAAATGAATGGTGGGCAGGATAAGTAACAACATGAAAGTGTCCCGTTATGCCATGTAGCTCATGAACAACAAGTTCATGAACAACACATAATCAACAACTTAATACTGTTACCTTTTAAGATTCCAACTAGTTGTTTATGTTTAATACAGTTTCAGAAATCCTTACCTCACACCATTCTGTCCTTGCATCAAGGTTGTTGCTAATCTTCCTGAAAAAGGCCTTAATGTTATGATCTTTGACTTCTGGACCAAAAATTGTCTGTGTGGTTGTACAGAACTTATCATAGTCTATCTCATCTGTATGGGAGGAACAATATCCACAGAGTTAAAAACAAACAAGGTAAAGCTTCTTTCCTTATCTTCCCTCCCTCCTGTTTTATTTCTCCTTCAATATCAATAGTATGCAAGTTCCAGCTCCTCACACTGTATTCCCTGAAGCATTTTTGAAAAAAAAAAAAAAAAAAAAAAAAAATTCAGTCTTCATGTTCAGTTTTTTCAAAACCACCTGATTTGCAATACATGACAGGAAACAGATAGATAAAAAAGCAGGTGAAAAATGAATTCTCACCTCTTCTTTCTTCCCTTACTCTCATATCACAATTCTGCTTTGTTGATCTGAGCCTGAATGGTGTCCTGGGATAAAGTTTATCCTTTCATGCAACAATAGCTACTTGCATTGAGAAAAGCAAAACTTTGCCCTGATTATTTACAATTAAGCAACTGGATTTACAAAATTAATTGGATTTATGCTTTTACAGATCACTAGAAACATTGCATTGTGCTAACTTGTATATGTGGCAACTCCACCAATTATACTTTGTGTATAATCACCATAGCATTATAATTTGACCAGAAGTGTTAAAAGGAGGAGAAAAGCACTCTCATAGCACAATATGCCTATTTCCTGTAAAAATCAAGAACACAGAGATTGAACATTAATTTGAAGTTTTTCTTACAGTCTTGTCTTTATGACAACTTCTCTCCATATGAAAATTACCCTTTTCATCAGGAAGATTATCTCTTACCCTCATCTTCAAGATACAAGCCTAATCTCTTCTTTGTCTTCTGGGTTACTGTTTTTTCAACTAGTTTCTGGAACTGCTTCAAAGCATTCTTGAAATCTGGCACTTCAAGAGGAGAGCAACTCTCCTTATCACAATCCTTTTCAGACATCCTTTATTAAAAGAGGACAAGGTAAGAGGGGGAGCTCTTCTTACAGCTGGTCCAAGCTTTGTTTTGCCCCTTAAATCTTAAACTGCCACATGAGTTCATATGAGATGCAACAGCATGACAGGTATATCAAACATTACATAATAAAAAAAGAGGTGACTGGCTTAGCATCGCAAGCTGGCAAAAATACTAGTGAACTGGTGATGTCACAACCCCCATTACATCACAGAGTCCTACTAGCTGAGTGGCCCTAGGTTATGAACCAGGATCACTAATAACCTGACATATGCGATTATTTCATGGTATCTTGTGTAATTGGTGGTATGAACTTTCTCACTTCCAAAGCCAGACAAGGATTTCATCAGGGTTCAGTTCTGCTACAGCTGGCACTGCTTCAGCAATATGAGATCACATTCTCCAGTAAGAACATACTTTTGAGACTACCTCCTGCAAGTTTATCATATCTTTCAGACTTTTGTACTGAGTTAGGAGGAAGGAAGATTATACTAATTAACTCTAAGTTTCATTGCCTTCTTACCCTTTGGATTATTTTCAAGTTTTCTGCCAAATGCTGCACACCAACTAACACAGTTAGGAACAGCTGCAATTGTGGGTTCCCTTGGATCCACACATCATCTGGTGAAGAATGACCGCAGCAGTTCTCTGTTTATAGTTGCTCTGTGACAGGAGAACTGAGACCAGCCTGATGATATTCTAATGTGTTACTGCTGCAAGGCTTGGCCAGGGATCTCAATCTAGTCAGGGATGCTTGGTTTTACAGTAGCAATAAGAGCATTTTACCAGGGATGTTAAGTTATGAATCATTATTCACATGGCACAAAGAGGCCAAAGACATCCAATTCTATCTGAAAAGAACTAGAAAAGCACTTTTTGACAGTTAGTTCTTGGGAGTAACATGGAATGTTTGCTTCCTTAGTAAATCTCAATTTCTTGAATATATGCCTTGTTGTCCACTTTATTATACTCAAAATTGTTACTCAGTGAACTAGAACTTCCAACCTAGAAACACAATTACCCTGCAGAAAGATTTTTTAAATTGCATAAATCATTATGATTGAGATTGTAAGAAATCCAATGATGGAGTGGTGGAGTTTTAGTTATTTTCAGCTGCCCAATTGCCTCTCCCTTAAGCTTTAACAGCCATTCAAACTCCCTTTACTTGTCTTACTTAACTTCCAGTCAAGTTATTCTTTCTTTCTTTCTCCTAACATACAACTAATGAGCCCAGAGATTAAGTGTTGGCTCTTAATATGTGTCTGGCCAAAGTTCAGCTACATGTCTTAATTGGTTACTATTTTGAACAGGGTCTCCATTTATCTTGCACCTAGGTTCAGTCAGGATCTTAAAGTCAGAATACTCCTACACCAAGGTACACCAAGGACCTTTCCGGTTTTTGTTCTCAGGGCGCAATTAAACAAAAGCAGAATGGGGCTATTCAGAAAGCAAAATTGCAGCTACCACTTTCTTTTGAAAGTGGCAGCCCAGAGCACTCCCTGGCTAATTGAAATTGTTTGATATGCTACCCAATGTCTTGAGATCAGACAGAATTTTTGCCCTGCAAGAGCACTAGTCCCTGTGTTATATCTGTGTTGTCCTTCTATCCCGCCACATGTTAAATTCTTTACTGAATACTGGAACCCTAGGGTATCCTACTGGAGTGCTGGAAAAGTGAATTAATTTTTCCTCTAGCTGAAACAGAATTAAATTCAAAACTGTCTCCTGAATGAGTAACACAGTGACTACTGAAGAAAGGGCAAGTACCAGTTCTTGTGGGAGTATTCTAAAGAATCAAGCTTCATTCATTCTTTGGAAAGGAATGTTGTAAAAATCTGTCTTCAGAGAATGGTTCAATGCAGTGAATTTTAAGAAGGAAGCATTTTCCTGAAACACAACGTGCTTAAAAAAGTAGTTTTATGATTTGCACCTGTGATCATTAGTAGTCTTCTATTGACTAAACAGTTTTTTTAAAAAGACTATAGGTATTGGTATGTAATATGTTAATTACTTTGGATCATGTTATAATCACAGATTCTTTGCATATGGAAGCTAGTTATCTTGCTCAGCATTCTGGATTCTACAGTACACGTCAGATGATCAACTTTCAGTTCCTACGATCCTTTAGTGAATCTGACTCATTATGCTTGATAACATTTTGCAAATTGTAAAGGCTTACCATTTTTTGACACTGCCATGTGAGGCAGTGTGTTCTACTGTGAAGTCAGAACAACTGTGTTCTTGTCTTGGCTCTGCCATTTCTTCTTTCTTGATAACCTTATCAGGTTGCTAAAATCTGCCTGTAAAACAGGAACAACATCCAAACCCTGAATTAGTTCCTTTAAAGTATTAATAATCCGTGTAAGTTAATGTCCACATTTTATGTGTGTGATATCTGTGATTCCTTTTGTATCACTATGCTATGCTGACATTAAATTCCGACATCTTTCCTTTTAACAAACTACTCCCGTGTCCACTGCATATTTACATGAATATTATTGGCATAACAAATATAACTTAACTGTAATTAAAGGTGAACAGAACTCTTCTGGCATTAGCTGTGCTTAAGCAAACATGCATTTACATTTGTTCACTGATCTTACAGTTAGTGAAGTAAGTAATTCACAATCATTAACACAATCACATATTTCTGTGGTCAACAAAGTTCTAAAGTACTTCAGAGAAGCACATCAGTGATAATGAGTAGAGCTGGTATCTTCTGCCTTTAAAAAAAAAAAAAATGGAGCTCATGAAGAAATCACAAGAAAAATTGTTGTCCCTCTACTTATTCCCCTTACCAAGATAACTTACAAAATGCTAGATTATTTTCATTTTTATACTAGTGCAAACTTTACTGCTTTATTAAGCAGATTATTAAGATTTGGATGAGAAAATTTGATGAGAACAGGCAGGCCAGAATATCCACTTTGACCCTGATTAGTGTCCTTGCTCCCAAATTTAACAGAGGCATCATAAATTCATAAAGTTTAAATCCAGAAGGGACCTTGAGATCTATTTTCACCTCCTCTATGTTACAGATCATTAACTATCAGCCATTTATCACTATAATGAACAAAACAACTTTGTTCTAATGCATAACTTGCGGAAAGGTATCCAGTTTTAATCTGCAGACACCAAGAGATGGAGAATCCATCATGTTTGTTCCAAAGGTTAATTGCTCATGTTGTTAAAAATTAAGCCTTCTATTTGAATTTGTGTGGCTTCAGCTTCCATTCAGCAGTTGTTGGAATGTCTTCACTGATTTGGAGTAATAGTTGGTGTATTCTCCTATAAGGGCCCTTTGTACCTGAATTACTTCTCTATTTTTTTCTCTTGTTAATTAAAGCAGATTGAACTCCATGCCTCCTACTGCAACACTTTCCTCAAAATAATGCTTGTGATTCTTTTCTACATTTTTCAGCTTTTCAATATCTTTAAAGAATGCTGATGGCATGTTGCCGTGCTATACCATAATAAGCAAATTGGTACTGTGGTCAAATAATGAATTTCAGTCTATTCGCTAAATTCACTTTTCACTAGAGCATATTGGTCAATTTCTTTGTATTGTTCTTTAGCTATTGATCTCCAGAATAGTGTTTCTATTACTTCACCCAAGGCTGATGACAAATTAATTTGTGAAGGCTTTCTGGAATTGCTGTGCATGGAATCTCTGCTCCATAGAGGTTCCGTAGTTGAAAGGAAAGGAGGAATTATGTTTTATATTTTGGGGGGCTATCTGAAGGATTGACATCAACCAGACATGTTTCAAGAATAACAAAACCACTTATTCAAAAAAACAGATAAAGTCTTCACACAGACTTGGGAAAATCAGCTTAACAACAGTTTTGAAACATACAGGGAAGACAAAAATTTGGTATAAAACAAATTTACTAAAAATAATGCCTGTAAGTGTCTCTGCCTGAAATAGTTAGTTCTTCAGGAAAAGTGGTGTTTCAAGATACGCTACCTAACCTTCTAAGACAAGCAATGCAACTCATTGAAGTTCTATCATTTCCACTGGGAAGACCACAAATGTTTCTGGGTACTCCTGCTTAACAGCGATGACTATGTCTTCTGACTAGAATAAGGAAGAGAATTTGGCAGAGAAATGCAGCACTGATTCCTGGAAAAGGGAGGGATCGCTTGAGGGTGCATTTTTGCTAGTTCCAACAGTAATTCTCCAGGAAAACATTTCCCTTGTGTGTCAAGGTACTCAGGGGTTGATCAGATACTGTATCTTGGCCAGAGTTACGGTGTATTCGATATATCACTTCCAGCTGAATCCTTGTTAGGCAGTGTCTCCTGTTGGTTCAGTTTGGGTCCCCACTATGCAAAAAAGATGCAGACAGGCTGAAGAGGGTCCAGAGAAGGGCCACAAAGATCATCAAAGCACTGGGAAGCCTGCCACATGAGGAAAGGTTGAGAGAACTAGGCTTGTTTAGCTTTGAGAAAAGAAGGCTTAGGGGACACCTTATCACCATGTTCCAGTATTTAAAGGGAGGCTACAAAGAAGATGAAGACTCCGTTTTTACAAGGAGTCACATAGAAAAGACAAGGGATAATGGGTACAAGTTACTCCTGGGGACATTCCGATTGGAAACAAGAGGAAAATTTTTCACAATGAGAACAATCAGCCATTGGAATAATCTCCCTGGGGAAGTGGTGGATTCCCCTTCATGGGACACTTAAGATTCAGCTGGGCAGCGGTGTTGGGCCATCTTGTCTAGACTGTGCTTTTGCCAAGAAAGGTTGAACCAGAAGAACCTTGACGTCCCTTCCAACCTGATATTCTATGCTTCTATGATTGATTTTTCCATTCTCTGTCATCTAAGCTTGTATGACATGAGGCTATATTCTCATTTGCCAGTTAATAACAGTGGTTTAAGGTTTATAAAAGATATTTACATCCATCCTTGAAATGAAAAGGTTAAGAACAGAAAGCTATGTTTTTTGAAAAAACTTCATGTTATAATGAAAATACACAGAAA